TGGCAGTCCCAGCCCCTGCAGGAGGGTGAGTGACAGAACTGGCTGGTGGCTGCAGCCAGATCCCCCAGCATCTCCATGCACTGGGCATCCCGGGGCTGGCCCTGCCTGTGGAGCGCAGGGCTGGGCTGTGTTCTCCGGGCTGTCCCGCAGCCCCTCAGCTCTGACCACGCTCGCTCTTTGCCAGATCCACGCCGGGACCAGACACAACAGCAGGACCGTGCCCGTGGCCGCTTCCGCAGGGCAGCACAGGTACCTGCAGTGTGTCACAGGGCCCTTTGTGACATGTGATGCCATGGCCTCCTGGGCTGGGCCTGCTGTCCCTGCTCAGCCTGGCACTGCTGTCAGAGCTCTCCATGGCACATCCCCCTCTTCCCTGCTCTCTGTTCCCCTGCAGGCCTTTCTGAAATTCGTGGGCATTCGACGTAAAAGGACCACAACCAGACTAACTAAGGCCACAGCACAGACTGACCTCAGGCTGACTGAGCTGGAGATGAAGCCTGATGTCAGCACCGCGCTGACTGATGGCACAGGAAACTGTGACACCCCACCGATTGTTCACACAGCAGAGTCTGACCCTGCTTTGACTGACGATACAACAGACACGGACACCGCATCGATTGATCGCGCAGCAATCTGTGACGTCGCGTTGTCCGAAGAACCCACAAACTCTGACATTTCCTTGCCTGATCTCACTGTGGAGGCTGACACTGCAACAACTGAGGGCATTGCAGACCCTGACCTCATGCCCAGGGAGAGTGTGAATTACGCTCCCACTCCAGATCTTTTTGAGGAGAATGGTGTCTCCAGTCCAAAGCAAGTAAGCAGCCTGTGGCCAGGGCTCAAGCCACCCTAGGCTTGTGTGGCCCCTCAAGCCAGCTCCCCTGGGCCCACTCAGCCTTTGAGGCCAGCACCGTGTGGTGGGAAGGGAAGCACTTGTTGGGGAAGCTGGGCAAGTTGGCAGCTCTTCCCCCATGCCTCCTCCAGGTGCCAGCCTTCGTGAGAAACATGCACCAGAGGCTGACAGGCAACGGGAGTCCAGGAGAGGAGCTGCTCACGGCAGTTTCTGAGGGTGACCAAGGCATACCCTGCTGATGTTGTGGTCACCCTCCTGCGCTGTGCCCCATCCTGTGACAGGTACAGGACCCCCTGCCTTTGGGGCTCGGGGCTCACCAGTCTTTAGAACCCCTCACCTCATCCATCCCATCCCACGTGGTCTGCCAGAGGGATGGGGAGTTCCAGGATCCCCTGGCCCTTCTGTTTCCCAGTCCTGCCATGTCAGCCCTGATCCTGCTGCCATGCTCCCTCCCTGCTCCTCAAGGCCCTTTGGCCGGCACCCCCTGACACACAACTCTGGCCCCGCAGAGCTGCTGCCAGCATGTGGAGGACCATCGCCTCATCGGGAATGGCACTGAAGAAGGTGCTGCCAGAGTTGCTCTGTGTGATGGAGGACTGGCCATTGCACAGCACGTCCACCTCCGACGGGGACAACACGCCTGTCTTTGCTCTGGCTGTGAGTTTCTGCAATGGGCTTTGGCTCCTTCCCAGGTCACCTCTCCAGTGGGTCTCCTTCCTCCCCAACACTGCATCTTCCTGCCTCAGGCACGGGGCTGGGAATGTAGGTTAGGGCCAGGTTCAGGGGCACCAGGCCAGGGGCTCCCCCTGCATCTTCCCTGGGGTCTCCCTCCTATCCACAATCGAGGCCCTGCCACATGGACATCTGGGCACTGAGAGCTGGTCTCGGGTGGTTTATCTTTTGCAGGCAACCATCGTGGTTTGGGAGATTCTCCAGATGTCCCAGTGCCCAGAGCAATTGCAAAACTATTCCCCCCTTCTCCTCGTGGATCTGCTCTTCCAAGTTTTCACCAGCAAAGAGCAGATGCCAGAGGAGGTTGACACATTCTGGAAGGGATACTGGGAGCAACATGGCCTTCCCACAGACTTCAAGAGGTGCTCCATCCCAGTCCTCCTGTCCCTTTCATGCCCTCAAGACTGGGTCAGGGCTCTAAGTGTGACCTGGGCTTCGCTCTCCACACAGATTTGCAGTGCTGACCATAAAGGCCCTGCTTTGCCATCTTGAGTGTGAAGACGTAGTGGTTTCAATGGAACGGAAGCGTGGCTGGGACACGCTCATCAATGCTGACTCCCACCACTACGCAGTGGGTCTGCTGGCCAGGTGAGACCCCCTTGTCCCTGCTGCCCCTGTCATTTCTGCCTGTGCATGGGGAACCCCCACAGTTTCGTGGGTCAGAGGGCCTTGTCAGCGAGGGATGGCTGAGCAGAGTGGAAAAGGCTGGGAGAGGCGGGGGCACAGGAGGAGCTGCCGCCCAAAGTGCATGTGTTCCCTCCAGAGGAAAGACCAGGCCTGTGTGAGTGAGCCCCGGCAGAGGTTTGCCCACCCAGCTCAGGGTTGACGGTGCCTGTTTCCCCCTGCCAGGGAGATGCGCCGTGCCAAGAACCCCTTGTATTCCTGGATTGCCCCCTGCCTGCTGGAGCTGCTGAGCAGGGAGAAGCCCCGCTGGGAGCTTCCCGCCATGGCCTTCCTTGTGGAGGTGAGCCTGATGGCGAGCGCTGCCTGGCCCAGCTGCCTCCACCTCTCAGCCCTCTGGCAGCCGCAGCTGCCCGGGACGGTGCCGCGCCCTGTGCTGCTGCCTGGGCACAGCCCTGTGCGGGTCTGGGCTCCTGCCGGCCGGGCACCCCGTCACTGCTGCGTGCCTTTCAGGTCCTCGACTGCCTGGACATGACCAAATGGAGTGACAGCTTCCTGGAGATCCTTGCAAGGCACCTCCGGAGCGAGTGCTCAAAGATGCGTCACCTGGCACTCAGAGGCCTCGTGGTGCTCAGCAAGGATCCTGTGATGGTGAGGAGGGGGGGCAGTTGGCTCAAGCCATGCTGGAATCCTGGGGCTGGGCAATGCAGTCGCTTTGGGAGCTGTGGCAGCTGCTCCCAGCTCTGCTGCCTCCCCGCTCAGCTGGCCGAGGCCTTCAGGACAGGCCTTTGGTCTCCGGGCTCCGCGTGGCAGCACCCGGGGCTGCCCCGCCCGAGCAGGGTTGGCTCTGCAGCCGTTCCTGGCTTCACAGCACAGCCTTGTGTTCCTCCCAGGCTGACGGCATGCGGACCCTGACACAAAGCCTGATGGACGTTCTGAGGGATGAAGACAGGGAGCTGGTCGGGATGGCCCTCTCTGTATTCATCAATGAAGTTCAGGACAGAGACATCCTAATCTCCACCCCCACTGCCCTGCAGCTGGCTGAGGTGCTGCAGCCTCTCTTTGGCTACGTAAGTCTCTGTGCCCCCATCACAGGCACTGCGTTCTGCCAGGAAACTGTGGCCTGTGCATTTGCAGACCTGTGCCCCGGTGAGCCTGGAGTAGCCAGGGCTGAGGTCTTTTCCTCTTGCTTTCCATCAGGACAACATCCGTGTGCAACTGCTCTCCATTCACCTCTTCCAAAAGGTGATGGAGCTGGGAGTGGACGAGGGAAAAGAACATCTGAAGACACATTTGATCCAGAGCCTGCTGCCACTCTTCTTCTACTGGCACGATGAGAACGAGCAAGTGGCAGAAGTGAGTACTTGTGGGCTCTGGGGTCACAAGAGGAGGGGGCTGGGCTGCCTCCTGCCCTGGCCTTGGTCCAGGGACACAGGTCCTGTACCCTGGGCCGTGGTGCCATCTCCTGCACTCTGTTGCTCCGCAGGCCTCTCGGGCAGCGCTGCTTCGTGCAGCCTGGTTTCTGAACAGGAGGGATCTTGTGAAGCTGCTGAAGACAGAGCAGCCGTGGAAGTTTAGCGAGTGCCTGGTAAGGACGGACCCAAAGCCCCAGTCTCCGATGCCCCGAGTGTGGGGCTGGCACTGTGCCTGGCCAAGGGGCAGAGCCTGAACCAACCATTCCCTCTGTGCCCTGCCATTCTCTCCAGCTGGAAAAGGACAAGAGCCAAGCGGCCAACTACCTCTGCCAGGCCCTGCCGTACCTGGAGAGCCCACAGGAGCCCGTGAGAGAGGCGGTCCTCAGGTTCATAGGTGAGCCACAAAGTCCCTGCCCGGCCCACTGCAGCTCGGCCCCAGCCGCGGCTGCTGCGTCTGCTGGGGGGGAGCTGTGACACTGCTGGGGCCCTGACAGCATCTGTGTTCCCAGGGATCGCCGGGAGGTACCTGAGGGGACAGGAGTTGGAGCTGCAGATCGTCATTGATGGTGAGTGAGAGCAGCAGGGACTGGTGGAGGAGCACAGACCCTGGGCAGGGAGCTGCAGTCCTGCCCTGGCTGCGGAGGGCTCTGCTCCCTGCATGGATGAGGAATGGCTTGGGCAGAGCAGAGAGAGATTTCAGGGCCATGAGGGCTGTTGGTGGCCAGCACCTTCTGGCTGATCCCCTTGGGTCCTGCTCCTCCTGGCCAAAGCAAGAGCTGGGTGGGATGGCCCTAACAGGAGGGGCTTCTTGGGTCACCAGAGATCTGGGCGCTGACCTTGCCTCATTCCCTTTTGTTCCAGTTATTGAAGGCATGACTCATGACAGTGCTGCCATGAAAAGCCTGGCAATTCAAACCCAGAAAATCCTAATGGCTGTCCAGAGACCTCAGGCTTCTCCACATTCCAGCAGTTTCAAGATCATCTCCAGAGTGTGCAGAATAGGGAGGCTCCTCTGTGGGGCAGCTGCCAGGGGTCTGCGGAGAACTGATCCTGGGAACCCTGTCTGATGGAAATACCTCATCCTGTGGGAAATACCCCTCTTATCCTTTTACCCCAGCATGGCAATAATAAATCCCTCTTAGCATGCACAGAGGCTCAGGAGATTTTTTTTGGTGCCTGGTATCCACAGTGCATTGGGGTAGAGGGGACAAAGGGCCCTTGTGCTCAGCAAGACTTGCCCAGGTGTGCAGCGGGGAGGGGAAAGTGCCCCAAAGGCCCTTGGCCTTGGGGGGTTCTGCTGGAGCCTCAAGGCTTGCAGCAGAGCGGATGGGCAGAGCCTGGAGCTGTGGGGGTCCCTGAGAAGCTGGTGCTTGGAGGTGGCCACACGGTGTGTCCCAGCCAGGCAGCAGCACGTGTGGCCTGCCCGTGTGCTGCTGTGTGGATTGCTGAGGGCTGGGAGGTGTGTGGGGAGCCGGCTCCTGGGGAGCTCCTTCAGGGCTGCGCCGCTGCCGGGCAGGTTGGCGGGGCTGGGGGAGACCCTGAGGGGACGGGGCGCTGGGAGGCCATGAAGGGCTGAGGTGCTGAACCTCCTCAGCCAGGCACCCACCAGGATGCCAAAAGCGGGGATGCTGTGGGCACAATTGCACGGGCTTTGGAAAAGGCTTCAGGAAAAGTGGCCACAAGGGCTTTCTATTGACTGCCCAGCCTCACAGCAGCGCTTGGCAGCTTCAGCCTGTCATCCTGACTGACTTGCATGGCCGTGCCTGAGGGCAGACTCACCTGCCACACTCAGGCGTCCCACAGTGCTGGCACTGCTGCCATCCTTAGAGACTGGCATGGGACATGAGCCTTGGGGTGCAGCTGCTGAACCTCTCCTCCAAGCAGCACCTCAAAAACACATGCATGGGCTTCTGAACTCTAAATCCAGGCCTTTCTGGAATGGACAGGAAGAAGCAGCAGAAGCTGAAGCAGGGCCTCATATGGTGAACTTCAGGGATGGAGGGACATCGGTCCTTTGGCATCTGCTGCAAAGATGGCCCAGTTTACCAGCAAAGAGGAAAAAGAAGGCCAAACCAGTAACCGTCCTGGCTGTTTTGGGTGTGCTTGAAAGCAAAGGAAGAAGCAGCACACTGCTTGAGACACAGACATGTGCCCATCTCACTGTAGGGAGCACTGCCAGGCAATGCCTGGATACCGTGGCCACGTCTCGTCCCCACAGTTCCAGAATTGCAGCTCCTGCATCGTTCTGATTGTCCCTATGCCAAGGACTTGCTTCCAGAATGGTGCTGGTGGATTTAGGAGGCTCAACAAAGCACACTGGGAAACATCAATTCCTTTGTTGTTCCAAAGACATGATTGAAACCAACAAGAAACATAAACCACTCCCCCCAACTGCCCCGAAATGGAAAGAGTTTCTTGCATGGAAGGGACAGTGGTACGTTTGGATGTGCAGTTTCCTTGAATTTTTAGGCAGTTTCCCTTGCAGCTTCTGACCTCTTGAGGAAACCTCTCATCTGTTCCATTTTTACTGGTTTTTTTTTCCCTGAAAATGAAACTATTTCCTGGCAGAGAGAAGGAGCATCGACAGAGTTTGTGGTTCTGCCCAGGCCCAACATGCGGCTGTGGGGATGGAGAGGGATGCGAGGGGGTTTGCTGGGAAAAGCGATGCCTGAACTGGCAGTGCAGTGGTGTCATCGCCTGGAGCCCTCCTCCAAGATGTTCTCCCCTGGGCAAATCCCAAAGCAAACACAAACACCCCTTAGTGTTATTTTTCCATAGCCAAGCCCTCTCCCGGATCACGGATTTACACCACTCTTGCTTTACACCAAAGCATCGAGAGGCTGAGCACCCCTATTCCACACTTGTTCCAACCCACAGGTGTGGGGAGCACCTCTGGATGACCCTGGCACTCTTGGAACAGGCTTGCATGGGGCATCCCAACTTTAGAGCGAGGTGGTGCAGCTCTTGAGCACAGCTTGGGGAAACTGTCCATATGAGGAATAAATGGTTTGGGGAATGGTGTTTGGGGCAGTGCTGGGCATGGGAGGTGGTGAGAAGTGCTGGGGTCAGGCTTTGTGACCTAGAGTGAGGATGATTGTGGAAACCAAATTCATCCTGTCAGCAAGCCAAGGTTTGCTGAAAATGAGCCCCCTCCTTAGGGTTAATTTTACCCGAAAACTGTGAGTTTACATCTGTGGCCCCAGTACTTCAACCCCCTCCAGCCAGAACTAGAGCTCATGAGCCTGATTTTGGGGACAGGTGGGCAGGACTGGGGATGGGAACTGGAGCCACAGAAGGGCCACGGCAGAGGGGTGGTTCCACCTCTAAAACAGCACATGTGCTGTTAAATGCCATTTGAGCACATTCTGGGCTATTTCATAGGATATAGGCAGAGATATGGGTGATTTGTAGCATACATATTAAATCCTATATTGTGTCTATATTGCATGCTCTATTGTAGATATACTGCAGCTGTGTCAGGGGAAGGTCAGGCTGGATCTCAGGGAAAGGGTCTTCCCCCACAGGGTGGTTGGCACTGAACAGGCTCCCCAGGGCAGTGGGCACTGCCCCAAGGCTGCCAGAGCTCCAGGAGCCTTTGGACAACACCCTCAGGGATGGGGTGGGATTGTTGGGTGTCCTGTGCAGAGCCAGGAGTTGGACTGGATGATCCTTGTGGATCCCTTCCAGCTCAGGATATTCCACGATTCTGTGGTATCTCTTTCTGTCCGCACTGTTTGCTCTGCATAGCAGGGGATTTTATAGGGAGCAAGGATAAAAAAACTGCTGTAAAACTATGAAAAAACTAAGCAAAGCCTCCCCTGCTGTGCCTGCCCACGGCAGCAGAGGGAGTCCCCTTGGCTTCTGACGCAGCCACAGTGGGAAGGGCACGGGCCCTCCACAGCAGCTTGGAACGGGCTCCTTGGGAGAAGTTGCTTAGTTTTTGAGCTGTGTCTAAAGTTCATGTGCAGCTGTCTTAGATTCTTTGGAGAAGGGAGTCATTCCGACCAGGGTCAGGTTGGTTGGGCTGGGGGAGGCCCCAGGGCAGGTGGCAGGGTGTCACAGGGCCCTTTGTGACACGGTGGGCATCGCCGAGGGGATGGAACAGGGCCCTTTGTGACACGGGGTGATATAAATCCTGGTGTTGATGTGGCAACGCCTCAGTGCTCCTCGGAGCGTGCGACGGGACAGACGGGACAGAGCGGTGCTGTGCGGAGCCCCCGCGTAGCCAACTCTTTCCTACTGACCGGAGCGTTTTGGAGGTATTTTCTGTGGTGCAAGTGTCCTCGAGGCCAGACCGCGGGACTTGGTGACACTGAGCGTTTGTGAGGTGTCTCCAGTCCCAGCGGCAGCTGCCCTCGAGACCCCACTGCAGGACTTGATAACCCAGAGTTTTTCCTAGGCTTTTCTCACTTTCAGTTGCCCTCGAGGCAGCACTACAGGACTTGATAACCCATACTTTTTACTAGGTTTTTTTCTCTCTCAGTTACCCTTGAGGCCACGCTGCAGGACTTGACAACCCCTATCATTTTCTAGGCTTTTATTTCTTTCAGTTGCCCTCGAGGCCAGACCGCAGGGTTGGTGACCCAGAAATTTTCTGGGTGTCCAATCCCTGCGGCACGTGGCCTCGAGGGCAGCCTGCAGGACGTGGTGACCCAGAGATCTTCCGAGGTGTCTCTCCCTTGCAGGTGCCCTCAAGGCCAGACTGTGGGATGGCAGGAAGACGCCTGAGCCTGCTCAGACCCTTTCGGAAGAAGAAGGAAGGCCCTGGAGCTTCCCCATCCCAGCACCCTGAGGATATGGAACAGTCCCAGCCCCTGCAGGAGGGTGAGTGACAGAGCTGGCCACAGGGCTGGTGGCTGCAGCCAGATGGGCATCATCCCATCCCATCCCCTGTGGACATGCCCAGAAAAAGGGAGAGGGGAAGAGGGCCCATGGCTGATCCCCCGGCAGCTGCATGCACTGGGCATTCTGGGGCTGGCCCTGCCTGTGGAGCGCAGGGCTGGGCTGTGTTCTCCGGGCTGTCCCGCAGCCCCTCAGCTCTGACAGCGCTCGCTCTTTGCCAGATCCAGGCCAGGACCAGACAGAAGAGCAGGACCGTGCCCGTGGCCCCTTCCGCAGGGCAGCACAGGTACCTGCAGGGTGTCACAGGGCCCTTTGTGACATGTGATGCCATGGCCTCCTGGGCTGGGCCTGCTGTCCCTGCTCAGCCTGGCACTGCTGTCAGAGTTCTCCATGGCACATCCCTCTCTTCCCTGCTCTCTGTTCTCCTGCAGGCCTTTCTGAAATTCCTGGGCATTCGACGTAAAAGGACCACAACCAGACTTACTAGGGCCATGGCACAGCCTGACCTCAGGCTGACTGAGCTGGAGATGAAGCCTGATGTCAGCACCGCGCTGACTGATGGCACAGGAAACTGTGACACCCCACCGATTGTTCACACAGCAGAGTCTGACCCTGCTTTGACTGACGATACAACAGACACTGACAGCTCACCGATTGATCGCGCAGCAACCTCTGACATCGCGTTGACCAATGAACCGGCAAACTCTGACATTTCCTTGCCTGATCTCACTGTGGAGGCTGACACTGCAACAACTGAGGGCATTGCAGACCCTGACCTCATGCCCAGGGAGAGTGTGAATTATACTCCCACTCCAGATCTTTTTGAGGAGAATGGTGTCTCCAGTGCAAAGCAAGTAAGCAGCCTGTGGCTAGGGCTCAAGCCACCCTAGGCTTGTGTGGCCCCTCAAGCCAGCTCCCCTGGGCCCACTCAGCCTTTGAGGCCAGCACTGTGTGGTGGGAAGGGAAGCACTTGTTGGGGAAGCTGGGCAAGTTGGCAGCTCTTCCCCCATGCCTCCTCCAGGTGCCAGCCTTCATCAGGAACATGCACCAGAGACTGACAGCCAACATGACTCCAGAAGAGGAGCTGCTCACGGAGTTTCTGAGGGTGACCAAGGCATACCCTGCTGATGTTGTGGTCACCCTCCTGCGCTGTGCCCCATCCTGTGACAGGTACAGGACCCCCTGCCTTTGGGGCTCAGGGCTCACCAGTCTTTAGAACCCCTCACCCTGTCCATCCCATCCCACGTGGTCTGCCAGAGGGATGGGGAGTTCCAGGACCCCCTGGCCCCTCTGTTTCCCAGCCCTGCCATGCCAGCCCCAATCCTGCTGCCAGGCTCCCTCCCTGCTCCTCAAGGCCCTTTGGCCGGCACCCCCCGACACACAACTCTGTCCCCGCAGAGCTGCTGCCAGCATGTGGAGGACCATCGCCTCCTCGGGAATGGCACTGAAGAAGGTGCTGCCAGAGTTGCTCTGTGTGATGGAGGACTGGCCATTGCACAGCTCATCCACCTCCGACGGGGACCACACGGCTGTCTTTGCTCTGGCTGTGAGTTTCTGCAATGGGCTTTGGTTCCTTCCCAGGTCACCTCTCCAGTGGGTCTCCTTCCTCCCCAACACTGCATCTTCCTGCCTCAGGCACGGGGCTGGGAACATAGGTTAGGGCCAGGTTCAGGGGCACCAGGCCAGGGGCTCCCCCTGCATCTTCCCTGGGGTCTCCCTTGCACAATCGAGGCCTGTCACATGGACATCTGGGCACTGAGAGCGTGGTCTCGGTGGTTTATCTTTTGCAGGCAACCATCGTGCTTTGGGAGATTCTCCAGATGTCCCAGTGCCCAGAGCAATTGCAAAACTATTCCCCCCTTCTCCTCGTGGATCTGCTCTTCCAAGTTTTCACCAGCAAAGAGCAGATGCCAGAGGAGGTTGACACATTCTGGAAGGGATACTGGGAGCAACATGGCCTTCCCACAGACTTCAAGAGGTGCTCCATCCCAGTCCTCCTGTGCCTTCCATGTCCTTGGGGCTGGGTCAGGGCTCTAAGTGTGACCTGGGCTTCGCTCTCCACACAGATTTGTAGTGCTGACCATAAAGGCGCTGCTTTGCCACCTTGAGTGTGAAGACGTAGTGGTTTCAATGGAACGCAAGTGTGGCTGGGACACGCTCCTCAGGCCTGACACCCACCACTATGCAGTGGGTCTGCTGGCCAGGTGAGACCCCCTTGTCCCTGCTGCCCCTGTCATTTCTGCCTGTTCATGGGGCACCCCACAGTGCCCATGGTCACGGGTCAGAGGGCCTTGTCACCCAGGGATGGCTGAGCAGAGTGGAAAAGGTGCACAAGAGAGGCAGATGCACAGGAGGAGCCACCTCCCAGAGTGCATGTGTCCCCTCCTGGGGGGGTGGGCCAAGAGGGTGGGCCAAGATCAGGGCTATGTGAGTGAGCCCCGGCAGAGGTTTGCCCACCCAGCTCAGGGTTGACGGTGCCTGTTTCCCCCTGCCAGGGAGATGCGCCGTGCCTCGAGCCCTTTGTATTCCTGGATTGCCCCCTGCCTGCTGGAGCTGCTGAGCAGGGAGAAGCCCCGCTGGGAGCTTCCCGCCATGGCCTTCCTTGTGGAGGTGAGCCTGATGGCAAGCGCTGCCTGGCCCAGCTGCCTCCAGCTTTCAGCCCTCTCGCAGCCGCAGCTGCCCGGGACGGTGCCGCGCCCTGTGCTGCTGCCTGGGCACAGCCCTGTGCGGGTCCGGGCTCCTGCCGGCCGGGCACCCCGTCACTGCTGCGTGCCTTTCAGGTCCTCGACTGCCTCGACATGACCGAATGGAGTGACAGCTTCCTGGAGATCCTTGCAAGGCAACTGAGGAGTGAGTGCCCAGAGATGCGTCGCCTGGCACTCAGAGGCCTCGTGGTGCTCAGCAAGGATCCTGTGATGGTGAGGAGGGGGCAGGGGCTGAAGCCGTGCTGGAATCCTGGGGCTGGGCAACAGAGTCACTTGGGCTGAGCTGGGCTTCGGGAGCTGTGGCAGCTGCTCCCAGCTCTTCTGCCACGGGGCCCAGAGGCCAAAGGCCTGTCCTGAAGGGTTGGCTCTGCAGCCGTTCATGGCTTCACAGCACAGCCTTGTGTTCCTCACAGGCTGATGGTGTGCGGACCCTGACACAAAGCCTGATGGACATTCTGTGGGATGAAGACAGTGAGCTGATTGGGATGGCTCTATCTATAATCATCAATGAAGTTCAGAACAGAGCCATCCTAATCTCCACCCCCACTGCCCTGCAGCTGGCTGAGGTGCTGCAGCCACTCTTTGGCTACGTAAGGCTCTGTGCCCCCATCACAGGCACTGGGTGCTGTCGGGAAACTGTGGCCTGTGCATTTGCAGGCCTGTGCCCCAGTGAGCCTGGAGCAGCCAGTGCTGAGGTCTTTTCTTCTTCCTTTCCATCAGGACAACATCTGCGTGCAACTGCTCTCCATTCACCTCTTCCGAAAGGTGATGGAGCTGGGAGTGGACGAGGGAAAACAACACCTGAAGACACACGTGATCCAGAGCCTGCTGCCACTCTTCTTCTGCTGGCATGATGAGAACCAGCATGTGGCAGAAGTGAGTACTTGTGGGCTCTGGTGTCACAACAGGAGGGGGCTGGGCTGCCTCCTGCCCTGGCCTTGGTCCAGGGACACAGGTCCTGTGCTCTGGGCTGTGGTGCCATCTCCTGCACTCTGTTGCTCTGCAGGCCTCTTGGAAAGCGCTTCTTCGTGCAGCCTGGTTGCTGAAGAGGAGGGATCTTGCAGAGCTGCTGGAGACAGAGCAGCCGTGGAGGTTTAGTGAGTGCCTGGTAAGGACGGACCTGAAGCCCCAGTCCCCGATGCCCCGAGTGTGGGGCTGGCACTGTGCCTGGCCAAGGGGCAGAGCCCCAGCCAACCATTCCCTCTGTGCCCTGCCGCTCTCTCCAGCTGGAAAAGGACAAGAGCCGAGTGGCCGAGTACCTCTGCCAGGCCCTGCCATATCTGGAGAGCCCACAGGAGCCCGTGCGAGAGGCAGCCCTCAGGTTCATAGGTGAGCCACAAGGTCCCTGCCCGCCCTGCTGCAGCTCGGCCCCAGCCCCGGCTGCTGCATCCACTGGGGGGGAGCTGTGACACCGCTGGGGCCGTGACAGCATCTGTGTTCCCAGGGATCGCTGGGAGGTACCTGAGGGGACAGCAGGCTGAGCTGCAGATCATCATTGGTGGTGAGTGAGAGCAGCGGGGACTGGTGGAGGAGCACAGATCCTGGGCAGGGAGCTGCAATCCTGCCCCAGCTGTGGAGGGCTCTGCTCCCTGCATGGATGAGGAATGGCTTGGGCAGAGCAGAGACAGATTTCAGGGCCATGAGGTGTATTGGTGGCCAGCACCTTCTGGCTGATGCCCTTGGGCCCTGCTCCTCCTGGCCATAGCAAGAGCTGGCTGAGACTGGGGCAGGAGGGGCTTCTTAGGTCGCCAGAGATCTGGGCGCTGACCTTGCCTCATTCACTTTTGTTCCAGTTATTGAAGGCATAACTCATGACAGTGCTGCCATGGAATGCCTGGCAGATCAGACACAGAAAATCCTAATGACTGTCCAGAGACCTCAGGCTTCTGCACATTCCAGCAGTTGGAAGATCATCTCCAGAGTGTGCAAAATAGGGAGGCTCCTCTGTGGGGCAGCTGTTGGATGTCTGCGGAGAACTGATCCCGGGAACCCTGCCTGATGGAACTACCTCATCCTGTGGGAAAGACCCCTCTTATCCTCTTACCCCAGCACAGCAATATTAAATCCCTCTTAGCATGCACAGAGGCTCAGGAGTTTTCTTTGGTGCTCGGTATCCACAGCATATTGGAGAAGAGAGGACAAAGGGCCCTTGTGCTCAGCAACACTTGCCCAGGTGTGCAGTGGGGAGGGGAAAGTGCCCCAAAGGCCCTTGGCCTTGGGGGGTTCTGCTGGAGCCTCAAGGCTTGCAGCAGAGCGGATGGGCAGAGCCTGGAGCTGTGGGGATCCCTGAGAAGCTGGTGCTTGGAGGTGGCCACACGGTGTGTCCCAGCCAGGAAGCAGCACGTGTGGCCTGCCCCTGGGCAAATCCCAAAGCAGACACAAACACCCCTTAGTGTTATTTTTCCATAGCCAAGCCCTCTCCCAGATCACAGATTTACACCACTCTTGCTTTGCACCAAAGCATTGAGAGGCTGAGCACCCCTATTCCACCCTTGTTCCAACCCACAGGTGTGGGGAGCACCTCTGGATGACCCTGGCACTCTTGGAACAGGCTTGCATGGGGCATCCCAACTTTAGAGTGAGGTGGTGCAGCTCTTGAGCACAGCTTGGGGAAACTGTCCATATGAGGAATAAATGGTTTGGGGAATGGTGTTTGGGGCAGTGCTGGGCATGGGAGGTGGTGAGAAGTGCTGGGGTCAGGCTTTGTGACCTAGAGTGAGGATGATTGTGGAAACCAAATTCATCCTGTCAGCAAGCCAAGGTTTGCTGAAAACGAGCCCCCTCCTTAGGGTTAATTTTACCCGAAAACTGTGAGTTTACATCTGTGGCCCCAGTACTTGAGAAGATCCGCTGACAATCTCTCCATTTTCCATCCATTCCTTTGCCTCAAACCGGGCTGCAAACATGTCCAAGCCCCTCCAGTCAGAAACAGGGCTTGTGAGCCTGATTTTGGGGACAGGTGGACAGGACTGGGGATGGGAACTGTAGCCACAGAAAGGCCACGGAAGAGGGGTGGTTCCACCTCTAAAATAGCACATATGCCATTTGAGCACATTCTGGGCTATTTCATAGGATACAAACAGAGATATGGGTGATTTGTAGCATACATATTAAATCCTATATTGTGTCTATATTGCATGCTCTATTGTAGATATACTGCAGTTGTATCAGGGGAAGGTCAGGCTGGATCTCAGGGAAAGGGTCTTCCCCCAGAGGATGGTTGGCACTGAACAGGCTCCCCAGGGCAGTGGGCACAGCCCCAAGGCTGCCAGAGCTCCAGGAGCCTTTGGACAACACCCTCAGGGATGGGGTGGTATTTTTGGGGTGTCCTGTGCAGAGCCAGGAGTTGGACTGGATGATCCTTGTGGATCCCTTCCAGCTCAGGATATTCCACGATTCTGTGGTATCTCTTTCTGTCTGCACTGTTTGCTCTGCGTCAACAGGGGATTTTACAGGTAACAAGGATAAGGCACCGCCACCGTAAAACTACTTTTAAAACCCGTTATAAACAGGCAGGAAGCACTTTCTCTCCCTGAAATACATCCCTCTCGTGCGTGTCATGTGCGACACGGGATGGGGGCGCCCATCTCTCACGACCCGCAACAGGAGACCTACACAGACGGGAGCCTGGAGACAATTCCGCCTATGGCGCGGGGAAGTTCTGCTCGTTCCGCAGAAAAAACGGGGTTTAAGAAGGATTCATCTGCGCGGCCCCCAAAAACAGCGGGCGCGCATCCCCTTGGCCACGCCCACCCGCTTTGGCCACGCCCCTACCTCGGCTTTGACCACACCCCCCCGGCGTCCCGGCATTCCCAAGTTTTGGAGGAGCGGGTGGTGCGTGGTTTGGGAAGCCCGAAGCTTCATTGCATTGATATATATAAAAAAAAAGTTACCCAGACCTGTGATGGGATGTGGAAAAAAAAACCCAAACAAACCGCCAGTTGTTCTTGGAGCGTTCGGTTTTCGCGAAACTTTTGGCTTCCTGCTGTGCTTTGTATCCTGCTGCGCTTAAAATGTGTAACTTGTGTTTCTTTTCAGGCCACCCCGGAGGAGCTCCAGGAGCCCTCGTTTAGGGCCAGCTTTTGGCTCTGTGCCTGCTGCACAAGTGGAGTGGCTTCCCCCCACCCGTGGCTTCAGAGCCGGAGTTTGTCACCAGCAGCTCGGGCTGCAGCCACCAAGAATGTGAGGAGTCGTGTGAGTAACAGAACGCCGGTGGGCAGTGCTGGGTTTGGAAGGAAAGAGTGATGTTCCCGGGATTAAGCCTCTTCTCATTCTGAATGTTTCAGAATGCCCCAGAGTGTTGTGACCAAGCTGGGCTGGCACAAAACGTGCCCAAACCAGTCTGAGCCTGTGGTTTGCAAAGTGGGCTGTTGGGTACGCGAGGAAAGCGGTTTTGTGTTAGTCGAAGAAAAATGAAAGTGCAAACCTTCACTTCTGAGAAACGCTGTGGAAATGGAAACCCCTCCCAGGTTGGTGTTAAATGAGGCTGTTAATGAGCTGTTTGCTGTGTTACCTCAGCCCCCGTGTCTGCTGGAGAGTGAAACAAAGACTGAACCCAGCACTAGGGGTAAATCCGTCTGTAATAAGTGCTCCGACAATATTACAAATGCAAAACCCTTTTGTGTTCTAAAGTCGCTACACTTGTTAAATCCTGCCTGGTTCACGCCCGCGCTCTGCGAGTCTGCTGTAATTATTTCACGGGCTTTGCTGCCATCCAGCATCCTTTTGTGACAATTGCAGCCTCTGAAACACTTCAGCTTTTGGGTTTTAGTCCATAACTTAATCCTTTATTGTGCTCTGTCCTTTTGCTTTGCAGCTTTGAATGCTGATTGATTGCTTGTCAGTTTGAAGGTATTTTCTGTCTGTTTGCAAAGTTTATGTTCCTTTCCCAGTTCCCTTCCTCTAAAAGTTATAAAATTGTGAGCAAGTTGAGCAAAAATGTAAGGTTATACTCATTGTTTGCCACATACATAACTAGCATTAAAAAAAAATCTACATTAATTCTTTATTAACTGTTTGTATTTAAGTGTTAGTAGAAAAATTAAAAAAACCTTACTCATAATGTAGATGATTTAACAAACAATGTTTAACAGCCCTCTTTCATTTGTCCCATTTCCAAGCCTTGAAACTGGTTCTTCTTTGTTCTTGGATGGCTAATTTCTGCTTAGTTTCTCCTTTTAAGCAATACAAAACCATACATCCTTTCCATCTACAAACTAGGTGTCTTATCTTAAAGGTTATAGGATTCTCAGGCAAGTTTCTCAAGCAAGCAAAAGTATGAACAACGTTAGGCAAGTTTTTTTTCAGGCAAGCAAAAATTTTAGAGCATCAATCCCAGAGCAGGCCTCTCAGGTAAATCAAGGAAAAATATTCAACAGTATTAACAGCTTCTCCAAGAGTGGCTTTGCTTTTCCACTGCAGTGTAAAATATTCCTGCCTAGAAGGACTGTTTCAAAGCACTGAGACTGTTCATGACAGATGTGAACAGACCTTTTGGTGTCTCCTTGCAGCGAGCATTTGGTGACTGACAAGTGTTTTGAACTTCATGTTTTTTAGGAATAACACACGATATCTCTGGAAAAGAATCCCTCCTGCCATCAGATCTGTAAGTACTGGATTTACAGCTGTGGCCGCTGTGGAGAAGACATTCTTCTGGATGAACACTTGGAAGGGCTTTTTGTCACAACAGGCAAATGCTGAACTTGGTGCAGTTTGGTCAGTGGGGCAGAGAATCTGGCAGAGAGACTTGGAAGCACTCAGAGGTCCAAAGTGACCTTGTGTGGGCAGCAGGGAATTGCCTGAAGTGATTCCTGTGTGCTCAGACAGTAATTATGAGAAATCAGAACTGTTGCCAAATTTGTGTAGGTTTTCCTGAAGGAATTTTAGGTGTCAGATGTAAATAAAAACCTCACGACAGGGCCTTGTAAAAACAAAGCAAGTTGTTTTTAGTCGGGTTGTGCCTGTGATTGTGGATTCTTTCATACTGGAATTTCATAAACCATAAGGTTTGTTCTGTAACAGCAAAACAGACCATTGGTTACCCAGTTTTATCAGACTTCTGAGCAGTAATTTAGGGAACTGGGCTTGGCATTTCAGAACCTTGGGACACTCATAAAAAGGTCTATCTGTTACCTGTGACTTGAGACAAACGTTTTGGAGACTGTGAAATGGTAACAAGCAAATTCTTGCTACCAGAGGGCAGCACAGACTGCTAAGAAGCCTTCTGAGGTTATTTTGCGATAACAAATTCTCTGTAGCTTTAGAAACAGCTGATTTCTAGATGCCATTAGTAGTTTAACTCATTGTTTTTGTCGGTTCTTTTTCCTGCTTCTGACCTGTTTGACACACAGGCCTGTTGCAAGTGGAGAGTGCCATCAGATGCAGGGTCTCCTGGAGTGGTTTACGCACTGGTGGGAGTGCCCAAGACGCTGCATTTGGAGGTCAGTGTGGTCTCTGAGGGGTTTGGTCCTGGCAGAGCAAGTTGTTGTCTCTGGCTGCTGACTGGGATGGGTCAGTGCAGAGTGGCAAGGGAGGGGGAACTTGGGAAGGGCTCACTTTGGGGTTGGTTGTGGTTTTCCAGAGGTGTCAGAATTGGGAAAGTGTTCTCAGATTTCCTGCCTGTGTCTGCTCCCAGTGTTTCTGTGTCCTCAGATGGCAGTGGGAGACAGGCCCTTGCCCTGCTTTCTCAGGCTCAGACATCGACAGCTGCAGATGATTTTGCAGCTTTCCTTGGCCTTCCTGTGGAAGAGGCTGGGAAAGGTAGGTGGCATCTCGTCCCTGAGTGGTTTTGGTACTGAGTGAGATCAGAGAGATCTGAGTGATGATTAATAAAATGGGTATATGGATTCTCAGACTGTTATAAAGAGAAGTGATGGGGCAGTGAACTAGAAATCATGTCTTTGTTCTGGATAATGGTTGCATTTTTGTAAATTATTTGCCACTAGTTGTTGTTTATTCTTCCCTTCTATATGGTCAAAGCAGTTCCATGGTGGGGGAAAGGTGCAGCTAATTCCTTGTGCTCCTGCTTTCCTGATGTTATTTGTTGGACTGCA